AAAAAAAAAAAAAAAAAAAAAAAAAAAGACCAATTAACTACCAAAAAAAGTCATCAAATAATGACCCTATCTCTTGGTATGTTGCAGCACAATTTTCCCCAACCATGATTAAACCAGCAAAGGTTTGGGAAGAGACATGGCACAAAAGCAATGTTGTTGCTGCTATTTGTCAGGTTTCACTCCAATTCTCTTCTCAATTTCCAAGTCACAGCATTCTAATTCTAATAGCAACTGAACCAGAAAAATAAAATAAAGAACAGATGGAAAAGAGACGAAGCATATTGAATATCACACCTTTCCCAGAACATGAATTATGATTGTAGAAGCAAAGGGTAAGATAAATAACATGAATCAATACTCAAGCCTCAATGCTAAACTAAAAGTATCCGGTCATGCAAGAAAAGGAAGTAGAATAGTGAAACGAAACAATTAAGCAGAAGAGTTGCAAATCATTTCATCAAAGGTTGTGGGCATCCACCAATTTTTACCAAATTTAAACTAGTATTGCACAAGAAAGCAAATAAAATAAAGTCTTCTACAATCAACATTTAAATGAAGTCACCACATCATAACAAAAGGAACAAGAAGAAAAAAAGACAAAAAACTGAGATTAAAAATGGAAATTTCGCAATAAAAAGAGACATTATTATTCAAAAAATACAGAATGATAAGAACCACTGCGCGTTACCATCGCTGAGAAAGCAAAATGTTCATTGTCCAATCCACTGGCATCCTAAATTACAAGAATAGATAGCATACGTTAGATAAAAGGATATAGAATGGTTATAACGTAAACTTACAATGTCAGACAAGAGGACGAATGCACTTACACCGAATATTCCAACGGCAACGGATCACCAATCCTGTATTATAATCTTACAACCATTCCTGAACTCAAAACGAAGTTGTTCAACAAGCCCAGACGAATAATGGCATCTTTTCATGAACAGATGTTGAAGACAAGGCATTGCACCTTCCTCTAATATCCACGAATTGATGCTTATTCCCCTCATATGCAACACTTGAAGCTGCGTGAATTTTCCAATGCCAATATGAAGGTCAAATTGTATAAAAACAAAGTGTCCATCATCAGTTAGCTTCAAAATTTGTAGGTTGGGGAGCCCTCCTAATGTGTTCATCAAATGGTGGCATTCAACTTCAAATGGTAGTTTCAAGCTTATCTTGGTAAGATTTGATGGAAATGCTTTGGAGTATGAAAGTTGTGCAAGGTGAAACATTATGTTTAGGCTCCAAAGATTGCTTAGCTGGTGTAGACTTGGTAATTCTTCCAAAAGCAGGGATTGAGAAGGATATCCATGCCAAGGGTTAGTGAGTAAAGTTAATTTTCTCAACCTTGGAAACATTACATTTTTCAGCTTGGAAATCATTTGTTCATCCTCAGTCTTTAACCAAAGGGTTTGGAGATTCTCCATTCTTTCCCCACTTGCTTTTGGTAACTTACTCACACTTAAATGAAGATGTTTCAGTTGCTTGAGCTTCCAAATTCCACTAGATAGTTTCCGTGTTCGATATATATATAGTGTTTCTAGATTCCAAAGGCAGCTTATAGAAGTTGGAAGGTCTCCAGAGTGTATTTTCAGGTACCTTAGATGGATCATCCTCTTCAAATTGATGGGTAGTGAATAAAATGGTAAATGTAGCACACGAGCCAACTCGAAACTTTTCATAGAGTAATAATCTATGCTTGCTTCAGGAAATATGAACACGGAACGGGTGCATGGATTTTGAAATGTGTCTACAAAAATATAAGAGGGTGGTTGGCAGTGGAAGGACAATCTACGGGGATTTAAATTTCTCAAGTTATCAACATTGGACTCTTTGCAAACCTCTAGAAACTTATTATTTGAGCTTTCTGATATGCAGAATTCGCGAAGAAGATCGTGAATCCGGCATGTCTTGACACCACCATCACTCCTCTTTTTTGCCACTTGTACTAAGCTGCGATCCACCAGATCATCCAAGTATCTGTCTGCAACATCTTCCAATTCTTCTGATGCATTTGGCTTTTCTTTTTGTATGAACCCTTCAGCTATCCATAGTTGCATCACTTCCTTTACATTGATCTCATAGTCTTCAGGATAGATTCCAAAATATAGAAAGCAATGCTTTAAGCTTGAAGGTAAGCTGTCATAGCTGAGCTTCAGTATATCCCTCACTCGAGTATGATGCAAAATTTCATGCTTTATTCTCTTCCATTCTCTTTGTGACCTCTCCTTCTTGGCAACGAGTCCAGCTAAGACCACAATGGCAAGCGGTAAACCCTTGCAAGTTTCGACAATGGATCTGCCCAGAGGCTCTAAATAAGGAGGGCATTGCTCATCTCGAAACACCTTCTTAGAAAATAGTTCCCAACTTTCATCTTCATTTAGAACAGGAAGGTAGTGGGGAGATGTGGTTCTTGTACAGTGAACCATCTCATTTGTACGACTTGTTATGAGTATTCTGCTACCTGTTTTGTCATCTGGAAAGGCACCTTTAACTTCATCCCACACTTGGGAATTCCAGATGTCATCAAGCACTATCAGATACTTTTTCTCCTTCAACTCTGCTGCCACCTTATTCTTCAAATCTTCCTCACTTAAATTTTCCCGTTCAGAAATGGATGAACTTAAACACTTGAGAAGGCTAAGTAAAAGCTCCATAGGTCGGTAATCGTTAGACACATAACCCCATGCACGACAAGGAAACAACGTGTTCACCTCATGATTGTTATAGATCTTTCGAGCAAGAGTGGTCTTGCCTAGCCCTCCCATGCCGATTATGGAAACAACTTTAAGGCGCAAATCACTTTCCTTCAGTTGCTGAATGACAACGCTGGAGTCATGCACGAAGCCCACCACGTCTTCTTCCTCCACATCCCTCCTTCTTCTGCGGAGTGATTCTGCTGCAGCAGCTTCTTCCCTTTGGAATTCGCCTTGTTCAATTCCATATCTCTCCTTGTTCTTATAAATCTCATCAATTTGACTTTTGATATTCTCTATCTCAGTGTTAACTTCATGTAGCAGAATGACTTGATTTTTTCCGTGGAATAACTTGCTAAGTATGTTTCTGTTTTTGTGTTTGGAGATGTTGGTAACATAAGTGTCAACCACATCTTCAGCTTTGTAGGCAACATCTCTTATTTGGCTCACCACTTGTTTCACTACTTGATCACTGCGCTTCCCCTCAGAGCTCTTGAGGAAGATGTTGATAAACTGGAGCTCATTGGCCAGGAAATTGACTTTCTCCTCCACGCCAAAAAGCAACTTGACTTCATCGTTAAGCAGTCGTGTCAAGTTTTCTAGCAAGAAGCTAACAACATTATCTGCCATTTGTGTTCCGTGTGGTTGCACACTGACTAGAGAGTTTGGTTTGGGAACAAGATATGTATATGTATCTATATGCATGCATACCAATAGGGATCAATTAATATGTTATATCTACTCATACAAAACATTAATGAAAAAGCACTCTTTATATTAAATTATTATCGATGCAAGAATAGAGAAATTTGTATCTAAGAAAATCAATGTTTGGACTTTGGAGAAAATTGTAGATGAGTACGTACGTACCAGTGTAGGACGCAAAAGTGTTTTGGAGGCTGAGTTTAGCTACTGCCTGGCCTTGTCTCCAAGAATGGTATGAGAAAGAATATAGAGAAAGTAGTCAGAATGAATTCAAGATGATTAGTGTGTTCACCGCGAATCCTCCTCTTTCCACGTTTCTGTGTATATTTTCACTCACCTCAATGGAACTGTTTTGTTACTTAGATTAAAAAATAAGAACTTTGACGAGAATCACGCTATTTGAACTTATGGAGACGATTGGTACAACAATTTTTTATTTTAGTATGAATCTGGTCGGGATCCAACATCTTTTAGTTAAATACAAATTTACTGCAGTAAAATGTCATGTTAGTTTTATACAGTAAAAATCATTGATTTTCAAGTAACATCTTTATAAATATTCTTAAAAACATTTATAAACAATTAAACACATTTTAATCATTCATAAGATTTATGTACAGACATAAAAATATTTATCTTCTACCAAACATCTTCTGAGTTTAATTTCCAAATGCTTTAGATTTAAAAAGATTTACAAAGCAATCAGTCAAATATTATCCTAGATATAAGTTTAAATTGAATAATAGTATAAAAAATATTTATATTATTAATGTACTTTAATTAAATTACTTTCATATTTTGACAAAATTAAACTGTTACCGTGCTTTGTGTATTGTGTAAACGCCAAAACGTGTAGACGCACATTTCTATGGGGTCGTTCTCGATGCATAATTTTTTTTTGTTCGTGAAGCATCTTTTCACATGGTAATGACATGCATGGTTGAACTTTTTTCCTCCCTCGAGAAACCATATTATTAAGAATAAAAATTCATTTTTGAAAGCTAGCAGAGAAAGTGAGAAACCCTCCTCACTTGGTCATTAAAAAATAGAAATATTTGAAATAATCATTTGCAAAATAGCAGAAGACTTTCGATGCTTATGACACTGCAACCGAGCGCGTGCGATATTCAACAATGTAAGAGAAGTCAACTTTCTTTTGTTAAAAGCTAGATACACAGCAACCTATATTTCGTTGAAGAAAAATAATGATACTTGGCCGATGTTTTTGGTGCAGAAATTGAGTGAAAATGGAAGAGAAGAATCAATTATATCAACCTTGATCAGATGGGTGATAGTGATGGAAATTATATAATTGGTTTCCGGTGCAATCTATAGGCAATGGCCAATTGTTGAAGCTAAGCTGTAAGGAATTTAAATTGGTTGTTGCTCATGACTTTTGAAAAATAGTTATAGTACAAAAGAAAGTTTTGTCTACCATCCTAAATTCCATCTGGGGGTTAGCACATCTTCCGGCAATTATATTGGGAATAGTCGCATCTAGTTACAGTACAAAACAACGTTGAAGAATACTCCTTTCATTGGAAGACATTGTTATGGCTGTGCCCAAAAGCCTTTTTCAAAAACAAATTAAATCAAAAGTACTAGTATACCTTGAAAACAAACTTCCGTTCAGAGTAAATTTTTCCACACAATAGGATCACACTGGCAAATGGCAATATCATTTAATCTCTGACAGCAGAACATGGAGGTACAACAACCTGACTCAAAAGTCCATAAGAAATAAATCCAATTCTTTTCAGTTCTCATGTTTTTACTGACTAAATTGGAAGATATATATAAACTACAACCTAAGAATGATGCAAATGAAAAGCAGCAGATTTCAGAACACACTATATAATATGCATCTAGAGACTTGGATTTACAAAAAGTCCAAATCTACCAAATATACAGAGAAGGAAAATGACCTCCAGCAAAAAAAAAAGCCCGGTACCCCTTTTCCTCCATATATGAAATATATATATATAACCGCCCTATTTCCCCCCCTCATGCTGTCGAAGGAAATGAAAGATAAACAATGAAAAGAATATTGGCAGAAAACTACCGTAAAAATCATCAAAATAATGACCCTTTCTCTTTTGACTGTTGCAGCAGAATTTTCCCAACCTTCTCAATAAAACCAGCAAGGCTTGGGAGAGACATGGTACAAAACTTGTGCTATTGCTGCTGCTTTTCAGCTTCCTTTCCAATTTCCTTTTCATCAAGTAAAGGTAACTGCTCAGATTGGTCAACGGATGCCTCCAGTATCTTGTCTTTGATATCTGTTGACTTGCAATCTGAATTTGAATCAAAAAAGAGGCAAACCGCGGCACAATCATCAACCTTACAAAAAGGAAATTTTGTCCTCCATGCTTGAACAGCCGACTCAACCAGCACTCTAGCAGCAGTAGATCGTGGAGCAGTTGCTACAATGTCCACAACTTCTTCGTTTGATAAGACATCCCAAATCTGCCCACAAGAATCATATAGTTTAAAACAATTCAAATATTTCCAGCTAAGAAGAAACAACTCAAACAGGGAACTTTCAACGAGAGGGTCTAACATATGTTATATATTTGGTTAAGGCAGAAAGCTTAGAAATTTCGGGGGATGCTTGTCTTTAAATTTCCATGTAGTCAAGATTATTTTAACCAACTTTATGAAGGGTTCTGCATATTCTAATAAATTTTTGTATTATTTTCCTTCTACTATATTTTTGCTTTTGTAGAACTCTAGTGTCATTTTCATCCATCTAATCAAGTATTAACAGCAAATTATATTCCATAACCCAGTTAGGTGCACAGAAGATGCAAGGATATCTAGTGTGAGAGAATAGTCCAAAACATATTTGTTGTTGCAAGAGAATTTGGAGAATATAAAATTTCAAGTTACTACTACATAATATTGACCGTAAGAGAAAAATTGGTTACAACTTCAAAGGAAGGGGGAAGGATAAAGGTAAATCACCATATTGATGTAAAGAAAAAGCTTTTCCAAAATCCAAACAATTTACAAATTCCAATTTGAAAGAGGGTAGAAATAACGTGCATATCTGTAAATAAACATGGATTTGAAATACAATTGGTTCAAAAATATGTATTGAAACAGCTTTTGACATTTTGTGTTAATCATTAACATTAGTAGTTAACTCAAATGGTGTTAATCATATACATTAATAAATTTTGTAAGTTTACATGATAAGTGGGTTAGCTAAACAGTGAATGGTCAATTTAAATGCAGGTGAACTTGGCACCGAATTTGGTTTTTCAGCTTACTTAAGGAAATGCAAGTGGCAGCTCAAAATATCATTTAGAGACAATTTCATTCTAGAATTGACCAACTACAAATACGATATTGAACTGAATCAATTTCAACATGTAGATCATAAAAGCCGGTATATCAAAAGAAAAGAAAAAAAACCCTTATAGGCCTTACCCCATCTGTTGCTAATACAACAAATTCATCCTTCTCAGTAAGGCGGTGATATGAGACATCCGGAACAGAAATCAATCCAAAGTCCTTCAGGCAAAAATCTCCAAATGCCCGTGCCATAGCAAGACCAGGGAAATCAGAGTTAGGCAGCCACACCCGAGACACTTCAGGTTCATTTTGAAGGGAAAAAACCCTTCCTCTACGAAGCCTGATCCTCTCTTCTTCCCCTAAGTGAAAAACAAGTTCACATAAAACATCCATAACCATATAGGTAAAAACAAATGAAAATATAGTTTCACTTTCACCAATCCTGAATACATTTTTCACAAAAGTCATGTTTTCTAAGAGAGAACCAAAGAAATATACTGGATAAAACAAAAAAGAAAAAAGCATTGAATTTGTATTTCTTCAGAAAAAAAAAAAGGAGTTATCTCCATAAAGCAGAGGGAAACCACTGTAACCTCCCAAAGACACAGGTAAAACGAAAAAAGAAAAGACAGTCAAACACAGCAGAACTTTCCTCCCAGCCCAAAGACACCTCAAAACAGGTACCAGGCTGTAACCATCAGGATAACTGGCTAGTCAATTTCCACTTTACAATTGACCAAACACTTACAAGAACTGGCTTCTAGTTATTTAACTTTAACCAGTATTCTGACTGTTAATATTTGCTATAACTTATATTTGAATGTCCAATATTTTACCTGCTGGTGATCAACTGACCACTATACTTTCCAACTATTTACACCGAAAAAAAGCTTAAATTATAGGCATGATTAATAAAGTTCAGATACCCAAAAAAATAAAATAAAAAAGATGTATCTCCAGCATCACATTTACAAAATGCAAAAGTGATAAGCCAAGGTAGAGCATATGGCCAAGGTTCTGAACATTCAAGGGTATGGATGAAAGTTTAGTATTAATCCGTCAGTATATTGAATGAAACACCATAAAAGAAAACCAATAAAACTAAAATAACAAAATGTTTGATAGTTTGATTTTTATATACTCAGGTGGCTAATGTACGGAAAAGTGATGTATAACAAACGTTCAATTTGTTTAGTCTCCTTTTAACATGAGTTATGTTATAAGGAATGGTCTGTTTGTTTCCTTTATGAAACTGTATTTTTTTTTTAGGGGAAAAAAAAAGACTTGTTTGATTTTTGATACCCTGTTCAAAACTAATATCTGTTTTCCAGTTTTTTTAAAAAAATAATCAGAACATCTCTTCTCAAATAAGGAGATGGAGTTCTTCAGATTATCAAGTTCATTCAGAACATTTACACAAAGGGGGAGGGGGGAAGAGAGAGGGAAAGCGAGATACTTGGAAGATTTGGCTTCAGGTCAACAGTCAACTGAACAGCTATAAGAGAATCATCATGATCTCGGGTACACAGTATAGCTCTTGAGTCGCCAACATTTCCAATAACAAGATCCAGCCCCTAAAAGAACATAATAGGTAAACCAAGTGTAAAAAACAAATAAGGAAATCATCAAGAGAATATTAAGTTATAATTTATATTTCTTACTTGCTTGACCAAGGTAACTGCTGTAGTCCCACTACAAAAGCAGTCAATATCAGGATGCAATTTCAGTTCTTTGTCCATAATCTTACAAGCCTTCAAAAAAGATTCTCTTAATGTCAAAATAGTATCTGTTTCATCATGTTCATGATCAGTGGGACTAGTTTTCTCGTCAACCAGTCTAAATCCATTCCCTTCAGATTTATAACTTCCTGTGGCACTGCTATTATCACTGAGTCCATCTCTATTCTTCTGATGCAAATCCCATTGGGCATTAAGCTTTAAAGGGAAAGAATCCCTAACTTTCTTTGCAACCCTGTGGCCATAAGGTCCATGACCATCAAAAACACCACAAAAAATGGTGTCTTCCTTTGAACAAAAGTTCTGCAAAAGGAAAATAGACAAAGTTTTGTGCACATTATTAACATTTATATCAGTCTCGGTGAAAACTGAAACAATCAAACTGTAAGCCAAACATATGAAGACTGAAACTGTAAGAGAAAGACAATAAAGAAACTATCAAAAATGGGCTAGGTCTAACTCATCCCTGTAACTCA